TGACCCTTGCTTATTCCTCTTCAGGAAGTGCCCTAACAAACCTTAATTGAAACTTTAGAACGGCAGAGCCGGAACGGGCCCTGTGGATCATCGGGTCCAGCCCCTGTTATGTGGGGACAGAGAAGATTCTGTTTCCAGAATCTTCAGCCGGTATGACTTGGGGAGGGGGGAGAATCTGGAAGTTAATAGATTTGTTAAAAACCAATCTCCCCCCCCCTTTGAAAGGATGATACATGAGTCAAAGTACAAAGTGGAACAAGAAGTGTCCTTATTTGCAATGGGGTTGGGGCGACATTCCCCCCCCCAAAAAAAAACCCCAGTTGCTTGGCATCTGTTCTTCCCTCCTGCAAGCAACCCCCTTGGCTTGGGAGACCCCTGGGCGGCTTGCTCGCCCCATGGCAGCCGGATCGTAACCGTTTTTTATTTATTATTTTATTTATTGGATTTCTATCCTGCCCCTCTTAGACCAAAGGTCTACTCTGAAGGGACCCCTTCCTCGCCACACACCGAGGGGCCCGTCTCGGTGGCGAATGAAGCTGTGGAGTCCCCGAGTGATCCAGAAGGACAGGCCTCTGCGGTGGAGGCCGAGGGGGGGGGCCCTCTGTCTCCGGTTACGCTCTCGACTCCGAGCCTCCCAGACAATGGCCCTTTCATCCGGCCGGGTAGGCAGGAGGCGCAGCTGTGGCGGGCCTTCCACCCATGAGGTTTGCCATGGTTCCCAGCTGCTTCTGTGGCATCTACATGTGGAAGGGGAGCGGGGGGGCAGCAAAGAAGCAGCAAAGCAGCCTCTTTTCCGATGGGCAAGCCGGGGAAACTCCTTGGGCAAAGTGAGACACCGAAACCTGCTGCCCTTAAAGACAGGTGAAGGGCAATCTTCATGAGGCTCGTGGCCACCGCCCTGCATTCACAAGCCGAGAGCTGACCCAAGATATCTTGCTGCCTGAGGCAAAGGCCGGAGAGGTGCTGTCAAACCCCACCCCACCCCCGCCTGCCAGCCATTTCCTTCCTTGTGCAGAAGCTGGGCAGACCGGTCGTTAGAGCTGGCGCTGAGTGATGCCCAGAGATGGGGATCTTTCACCTTTTGCAAGACAGGAGGAGGAGGAGGCTGGTCTCTGGGAGGCCGGCGAGCCAGGCTCGGCTCAGAGGGAGGCGGAGGAGTTGATCTTGCTCAGGCCACCCCACCCCCGCCTGCCAGCCATTTCCTTCCTTGTGCAGAAGCTGGGCAGACCGGTCGTTAGAGCTGGCGCTGAGTGATGCCCAGAGATGGGGATCTTTCACCTTTTGCAAGACAGGAGGAGGAGGAGGCTGGTCTCTGGGAGGCCGGCGAGCCAGGCTCGGCTCAGAGGGAGGCGGAGGAGTTGATCTTGCTCAGGCTGCCCCCAAATGTTTGCTGCCCGAGGCCAGTCCCAGGGCTTGGGCCAGCCCTGAATGGACTGTATGTCTTAAATCCTAAGGCAGTATACATCTGCAGTATACATCCCCTCCCCCCCATTTGCTCTTCTCCCGGAGAGGTGCTGTCAAACCCCACCCCACCCCCGCCTGCCAGCCATTTCCTTCCTTGTGCAGAAGCTGGGCAGACCGGTCGTTAGAGCTGGCGCTGAGTGATGCCCAGAGATGGGGATCTTTCACCTTTTGCAAGACAGGAGGAGGAGGAGGCTGGTCTCTGGGAGGCCGGCGAGCCAGGCTCGGCTCAGAGGGAGGCGGAGGAGTTGATCTTGCTCAGGCTGCCCCCAAATGTTTGCTGCCCGAGGCCGGTCCCAGGGCTTGGGCCGGCCCTGAATGGACTGTATGTCTTAGATCCTATGGCAGTATACATCTGCGGTGTACATCCCCTCCCCCCCCATTTGCTCTTCTCTGTCGCCAAATAACAAATCCATGGCGGTTTTTTTATCACCGCCTGGTTTTGAGGCTCCCTTCAGGCCTCCAGCCCAGCGTGGCCGCCTCTATCATCCTCTCCTAAGATGGTTTTCCTCTTGGCCTCTCGAGATGGGACGCTCTGCCTATAGTCGGCTCCCCTTGGCTCCTTCCTGTCTCGCCTTCCTTGGGAAGGCTTTCGGGCAGGGGGACGTCTGTAAACAAATCTCCCATCTCCACCTGCCCCCAGGTAGCCCTTCTTGTCCCTTTCTTTTCCGCCTCCACCGTTCGATAGAACGCATGGCCCTTCAGCGCTGTACCGAAAAACCAACCCTCTTCTCAGTGGAAGTGACTGAGCCGAACCGGCTTCCTTTGGCTTTGCCATACAAACAGCCTGTTCCCCCCCCCTCCCATGCTGGACTCCATAGTTCCCGGGGGCTTCGATAGGAACTTTGATTTGCTAACCGCTGAGCCAAGCGGCAGGGAGTAGAAGCCATCCTGGTGAGATTAACCTTCCTTGGGCTGGAGGGGAAACAACTCTGGCTGATCACTCGAGCGCTGGCCACGGACGTTGCAAGGTGACCATCCCTGACACACAGAGACACACCATTGAGTGCAAAGGTTTTGGAAGAGATAGCTGATTTGCTTTGGAGGGTTCTTTCGGTGGATTACAGCCAAGCCTGAAGAAGGCATGAGATCCTCCTACCCCGTTATACAGTATCATGCTGACTGTTTAACGCCTGGGAATCGGACAGGCATCAACAGCCTCCACATTGCAGGAGTGACACAAACAGCAGAAAAGAATGTGTTTGTCGGCTGTTGTTCCTGAAGATCTGTGCTTCACACTGAACAGGGAAGGGCGGGTTTTCCCTCTCCCCCCCCCCACCCCGCCAATTGATTTTCATCTGCAGATAGTGGTTTTTGCCAGTACCATTTTTTTCCACAGGGCTTTAGTTGCGTAACCATGATTTCTTCCTCCCCCATCCTCGCCCTTATTTTTAAAGTTCAGAAAAGTACAAAGCCATCTATCAAGAGAACATAAAAATTTACAAGACACAGCCAAAACAGTTCAGAGCGGTTAGAAAGAAGAAAGCAAACACACATAACCCATTGTTTATAGAGGAGTGGATCATGCAGGCACAATTTCAGGGGACAGACCGATGGTTTCTTACAAAGGACATCACAGAATCTCATCTTTCATTCTGCTCAACGTGCATATTTATGGCGTAGATTGCATGTCATCTTGGATGTAATGAAAGACAGTCTATCATCTTGGCTTCTGCCCATGCTGAGCCTCTGCCACAGTCTCGGTTTCCATTCTAACCAATTTCTTTCTATATTTTTGTTTATCTTGCCTCTCCGTGTGTTTTCTAAAGATGGCGAGATCCTCGTGCCTTTCTGAAAAAGGGACCGTGATGTTCCATGTAGGGAGCAACACCTCTCAGAGCTCTGTAAATTTTGAATTTTGAGTCTCTTGTGCCATTCAGAATAACAGAGGGAGAATTCACATTCTGTCCTGTCTTGAATGCTGGCGTTATCTTTTTTTAAAAGAGAGAAAAACCCTCGTCAACTTTCATTTTAGTGTTTCCGACTTGCAAAAGCAAGGTCTGAGTTTTGCACCGGCAGCCGCCGACTCGAGCATACATTTGCAAAATAAAATGCCTTTTCGGTCCACACAGAAGCGAGAGACACTCCAACTGGGTTTTGTCAGCCTGGGAATGGCTTTGTTGGAGAGATATTGGGTTTTTTAGCACTGTGTGCTTTGAATCCTCTTTTGGAGAACGCCGGTGAAATGATCTGTCTTGGGGGAAGAGAGAACGGGGGGGCAGTCATGGCCCTCTCCCCGAATCGGGCAATGCCAGCCTTCCTGGCAGGAACACGGCTGACGGCTCTGGTTTGCCTGCTGCAGCATTTTTCCTGAACCCGTGTAATGGAAGTAGGCAGGACTGTGGGCTGGTGGCTGAGAGAAATTGCTTTTTTGGGAGCGGCTGCTATTACAATTTTAATAGTATTTTTTTCCCCCTCTTTGGAAAAGTATGCTTGAGTGCCAGTGCCTCTGAGAACACAGTCTTTAAGGTCAGGAGAAGACCATGTTTATCTGGAGGCGAGTTCTCTCTCTCTCTCTCCCTCTCTCTCAGACATGCACATCCGCCATCCACCAAGGCTGCACCCCACAACCCAAAATGTGTGTTTGTTTCTCTAGATTTGAAGGGATTCACACTGTTCTTTTTTTTTTTTTTAAGAAAACCCTTCAAAGGCCCTGTTGTAGTAAAACATGCTCCTACACCTTGCTTTAGCGGAGTAGCCTCAATCCTGTCAACCTTCCAGAGCATCGTTTTCTGTGGTTTAAAACTCCTGCCTCAATAGTGCCGTCTGAGAATTTTCTGGGGACTGGATCATGCCCACCCTTGCTGTAGATCCATGGTTCCCAACCTGGGGTCCCCAGAAGAGGTTCTTGGACTGCCACTCCCGGAAGCCTTCCCCACCAGTTGTGCTGGCCAGGATTTTTGGGAGTTGTAGTCCAAGACCCTCTGGTCTAGGGCAGTGGTCTCCAACCTTGGGCCTCCAGATGTTCTTGGACTTCAGCTCCCAGAAATCCTAGCCAGCAGAGGTGGTGGTGGTGATGGCTTCTGGGAGTTGTAGTCCAAGAACATCTGGAGGTCCAAGGTTGAGGACCTCTAGTCTAGGGAATGAAATGGGACTGGGAAGGAAGATGCTTGGCCTTCCAGAGTGGGACCATCATGCAAGCGGGTGATTAGTGATGGCGTTGGAGGAGAGCCATCCAGAGTCCAGCAATAGCTGATGATGCTTGTGGAAAAAAGCTTCTCTGCACCAGCAGGCATCTTTGGGGAGGATCGTTGTACCCCAAGGACAGGCTACACTGGTGTGGCCTCCCCAGATCACTGAGGTCCACCGTGTGTTGGAGGAGAGCCATCCAGAGTCCAGCAACAGCTGATGATGCTTGTGGGGAAAAAGCTTCTCTCCACCAGCAGGCATCCTTGGGGAGGATCGTTGTACCCCGAGGACGGGCTACACCGGTGTGGCCTCCCCATATCACTGAGGTCCACTGCGCCCTTCGACAGAGTAGGCCCTGATACCTCTTCTCTCTTCCGTCCTCTTCACTTTGATTTGCCCTTCCTTTGCAGAGCTCCGAGAGGTGAGCAAGCGTTTCTCCAGGCCGGGAGTGTCCAATTATACGACGCTGACGTTGGCCGACCCCAAGGGCTTACTCTACGTGGGGGCCCGAGAGGCCATTTTTGCCCTCAGCACTGGCAGCCTGGACCCGGAGGAGCAGGTGAGAGTTGGCCGACGGGTGTGTGGAGACCAAATGCACGTGAGCTTGTTCACAAGTGACTTTTTTTCCTTCTGCTCGTTGAACCGACAAGGAACGACGCGCTGGAAGGGTAGCCACACTCTACGTGGGGGCCCGAGAGGCCATTTTTGCCCTCAGCACTGGCAGCCTGGACCCGGAGGAGCAGGTGAGAGTTGGCCGACGGGTGTGTGGAGACCAAATGCACGTGAGGTTGTTCACAAGCGACTTTTTTTCCTTCTGCTCGTTGGAACCGGCAAGGAACGACACGCTGGAAGGGTAACCAGAGATCAGATGGCTGGACTCAGGGGTCCTTAGGTGGATCGAGCAGGGTCACGATAGTCTTCTGAGGAGAAAAGGGGAAGAGGGAGCGTTGCAATTAGTTGTCCAGATTGATGAGCTGAATTTTCTCCTCGGGATGATTCGCATTCCTGTTATTCTCCCATTCATCTTCATGGCAGAGGTTCTTACATCCTTTACACTCAGCACAAGCTTCGGTGGAATACGCCTATATATCGAAGAGGGGATTGCCCCACTGTTGAATACCTATTGACTTTCTTACCAACCATCATCTCTGCATTTTAGTGCCATGGATAAATATTTGCCCTATTGTCTCTCTCTTTCATTCAATGTGAGGAAGATGAAAGCTCACATTAAAATATAACAGTCTTTAAGATGCCACCACATTTTCATCCTTTTAATTTGTTCTTTTATTTTTTTCAACCATCGTTTTTACCTATAATGTTTGCACAGACTAACACAGCCACCTCTTCAACATCTAGATGTTGACTGTTAGCTAAGTTATGTCTTTTTTACTTCAGCTTTTTTAACCTTGGGCTCCTTCAGAGGGAGAGTTTTATTTTTAAACCTTCTCAAACATCTGTGTCCTATCCCATGACGGGGCGGTGGGCTTAGTATTTTTAATTGCACCCTAAACCACACCGAGCTTTTACCACAGGGTGGAGCAGATGTGGAAGTATGATGATCTGGTGATGATTGAGAATAAGAATTTTTCTTTTTTTTTTCAGATTGTCTGGGAAGCTCCAGCCGAGAAAAAAGCAGAGTGCATCCAGAAAGGGAAAAATAACCAGGTGAGATTGGAAGGAGACCCTTATGGGTTTCATGCTTCATCATAGTCATAATCTCCCTCTAATTTTGTTGACCCAGGTGATCGGGAGATGAAGGCCAGGTTGGGATCATGTGGATAGATAACAAGCTTGATTTTTTTTTTAAAAAAAATGTAGATTGAGCAAAGAACAGGAGCTAACATTGTTGGGGGCTCATAATATACCTTTCTACTTCTTATCCCATCCCCCAAGTGAGAGCCATTCTGTATGGCATAGAGAGAAGCTGACATCCTGCATTAGTGCCCCCATCCCAGTGGGTGGAAATCTAATGATTTTCCAGCCAGATTATAGCAATTTTAATTAGGGACAGCCTATAGGGAAACCAGCTGTGTTGGGGGGGGACCCCGTTGTGTCTGTTGCTTTCCTCGGGGGGCTGTTTTGAACAGATGCCCCTAAGAAAACTGGTGACGTGACTGCAAAAAAGCAACCCCACCTCTGTGGGGAACAAGGTTTTATCCTAAGGTGGTCCCCCAGGAATAGTGCTTCCTCCTTTCATCTCCGTACTGTTGCTGAGGAGCAGCCCTTCAGACCAAATGCTTCTCTTGCTTTGTGCAAGGCGCTGCTGGGAGGAACTTCCCCCCAGTAACACCCAGTCTGGGAGAGTGCTTACAGCTGGCCGCATGACAGGGAGGGGGAGCAGAAGGAGGGCGAGGGTTAGGGTTGGAGGAAAGAAAAGCCCTTCCCTCAATCGCTTCACGTCCCAGGAGAGATTTGAATGGGGGGCTTCCTGCTCTGTAGCCCCGTCTTCTAACCCCTCGGCTCTGCTGCCTCTGTAAGGTGAGGCATTTCCTCTAACCCCTCCTCTGGGCCACTGGGCAGGGTGGAAGAGAGGCAGAGACAGAGCCCAGTCATCTGGGTCAACAGGATTAGAGGGCAATGAGGTCTAGAACCGAGCCCAGCCCACGAGGACCCCTGCCCGGCTCGCGTCCTTCAGACATCTCCTGAACAAGCCAGCCAATGGTGGTGTTTGACTTCCCCTTGACTCGGTTTGCCCTCCATCCTCATTCCTGCAAACGTCTCCGCCGGGCCTCGGAGCTGGCACCGAAGCAACAGACTTCGGTGGGTGCTGGTGCTCCCGCGGCCACGTGGTTCCACATCTCTGTTGCCATCTTCCATGGGCACACTTAAGGAACTGGGGTTTTATTGGCTGTACGCCCTTGGTGTCCACGATCACATATTTTGCTTCTATGTTTTGCGTATCAGGTCATTTGCTTTTGTCGTTCGTTAGAGGTCTGGTGGGAGAGAATTGGCTCTGTGGGGCCCTCAGGCTTAACCGCAGAATCTCTTCCTCTGGCTTCTGAGGGGTGGCTACCTGAAGCCGATCTTTGCAATCCTGAAGGCCAGAAGCTTGATTCCAAAGTCAAAATTCTCAGCACGCTGAACCCATATAATCGGAGAGGAATCTGAACCCAGAAGAGAAGCAGGGAGTGTTTTTGGAGGTTCACTAATGACTCGCTTCCCTCTCTCTGCAGACCGACTGCTTCAACTACATCCGTTTCCTGCAAGCGTACAATAGCTCTCACATGTACGCCTGTGGCACGTACGCCTTCCAGCCCAAGTGTGCCTACATTGTGAGTATGGCCAGGAGGTCTCCCTCCGCGTGGAACACGCTCGAGCACTTCTACTTTTGCAGAGCGATGGCCGGTGCCTGAAATATTCCCCTCCTCCTCACCTTCTCTTTTTCTGTGCTGCTTCTTTCAGGATCTCTCCACCTTCTCGCTGGACAAGCTGTCCTTCGAAGACGGGAGAGGGAAGTGCCCGTACGACCCGGCCAAGGGGCACACGGGCCTCATTGTGGGTAAGTGGCCTCCAGAGGTCCCGTGGCAGTGGAAAATGCCAACTCTGGGAAGAGAGCTGCGAATTCTCCTTCTCAGAAGTTCTCCTGCACAAGCCTCTCCAGAGTGAACTGTGCAGGAGCGCTTCTTGGCGACCGGGGAAAAAACCAACAGTTGAAAACTTGCTGGTTGCTAGCAGGTAAATTTTTACTGGAGGTAACCCAGCAAGCGGCCTCCAGCAAATGCTCTCATCCTATTGATAGTTCAGTGGTCTAAGCATCTGGCTTCAGAACCAGAAGTTGGGAGTTCAATTCCTTGATAGGGGCTGGACTTGTTGATCCAGAGGGTCCCTCCCAGCTCAGCAGTTCTGAGATGATGAGGATGATGATTTAGTTATCTGGCTGTGGAGCCAAAGGTTTTTTTAGGAACCGATTTTCACTAGACAGTGATTTTGACAGCTGGTCCGCGCTTCGCAAAACGGTTTCCCTATGGCCGATTTTCGCAAGACGACGACTGTTTTCCCCATTGGAACGCATTCAGTGGATTTCAATGCATTCCAGTGAAGAACCACATTTTGCAAGATGATGTTTTCGCAAAACAGCGATTTTCGTGGAACGAATTAACATCGTCTTGCGAGGCACCACTGTAATAATAATAACAATAGCGATGATGATGCGAATTAACATCGTCTTGCAAGGCACAACTTTAATAATAATAACAATAACGATGATGATGATGTCTGGATCATTGACCCTGCAATTCCAGGTGATGCCAAAGATGATGATGGTGTTGGTGGTGTTGGATCATTGACACTGCAATTCCAGGTGATTGCCAAAGATGATGATGGTGGTGATGGTGGTGATAATGATGATGATTAGCAGCAGCAATAACAATAATAATCTGGAGCAGAACAGGCTTATTTATCAGTGATGTTTATATACCACCTTTCCAAGGATGTCGCCAGAACATCTCTTGCAACTCAAAGAAACACCAGAGCATCCGTGTGTCCGTAGGTCCAGGTGAAGCCATGGGAGTTGCATTCAAACCCTTCTCTCTTATGTCTGTTTCAGAGGAGGAGCTGTATTCTGCAACCCTGTACAACTTCTTGGGCACAGAACCGGTGATCCTGCGGAACCTGGGACCACAGTATTCTGTCAAGACGGAGCACCTGTCCACGTGGCTCAATGGTGAGATGGGGCCGGACGGCCAGACGGGGAGGCAGGGCTCCGGGACACATGGATGCGCGGTGGTGTCTTTTTCTCTCCTGGGTTGCAGGGAGAGGTTTGTGACATCCTATAAAAGCAATATACCTTTTGCTCCACGTTCATGTGCTTGGAGTAATAACGCATCACCGCATGGTTCTGTAATCTCAGTATGCCATCCGGATCAGAATGTCTCACCTCACGTTGATTCATCAGAAGCTAATTCTACCTCACTGGCCTAATCTGTTTGTCCGACTTCCTTTCTGTTATCTGCTTCTGCTGGTGTTCAATTCTTGGGTGGAGGTTTTCCCCATCTGCCTCGACCCGATCCTTTAAATAAAGGCAGTGGGGGGGGCTGAGCCCCCGTGGACCTTCTGCTTACGAAGTACGTGTTTTACCCCCAAGTCATGGTTTTCCCACACTGTCCACAAGGCAGGCTCGAAAAGAAGGAAGGGAGAATATGTTGGGTCTGGAACCATCAGAGCTGGGCTACACGTTACACATGGTTTTATCTTTGCCCATCGTGTGAGTCTGTTTCCTCTTGAGCAAAGGCAGTCCTGGGGCACAGCAGGATGGCCTTTCTAGCTCCCGGAGCATCTCGTGGTCAGAAAAGTGGCCTCTGGACTCACCAGAGTGGCCGGCCTCTCCTCTCGAGCCTTCTGGGGCCATTCCTCCCCCTCCCTTCTTAAGTCTGGGAAAGCAAGAGGACACTGTCTTTTCATGCTGTCCTGTGCCATTCTTTATCTCGCGCCAGCTGCGTTTCCCTAGGAAATGGGAGCGGGACAAGAGAGATAAAGGGAGATGCAGGACGAGGGGCTCGCTTTCCCGCACGGGGACTCTGACACTGAGCCAGGCTCTCAGGAGGCTTCATCTCCAAGCAGGGATTCGGGAACCAAGTTGGAGGCTGGTTTTTCCTCCCGATCCAGTTTTTGCCCCGTTGGCTCTGGAGGAGGTTCTGGAGAAAAAGGGCCCTCGTGCCAAGGAACGACAGTTGCGAGAGCAAAGGGGTCCATGCACAGCTCTTCATGAAGACAGCTGTGGGACTGGAGAGATACACATACACACACCGTCCACACTGGGTGGCTCAATTCTGGCCTCTTTTGGAAGGGGGGGGGCTTAGGGTTAGGCGATTCTGGAGACACAGAAGGGAACGTCTCAGGCTCTCCTGGGATGCCAGCGCTCAGCAGCTGATCCCCCCCTTCCTGGCCCGTTTCTCTCTGCAGAACCCCACTTCGTGGGCTCGGCCTTCGTCCGGGAGAGCCAGGACAGCGACAAAGGGGACGACGACAAGGTCTACTTCTTCTTCAGCGAGCAGGCGGTGGAGTACGACTGCGACAGCGACCAGGTGGTGGCCCGCGTGGCCAGAGTCTGCAAGGTGGGCGTGAGTTCTGGGCCAGTTCCTGGGGTCGAAGGGGAGGGCGCGGGGGGGGGGGACAAGGTCCCCTGTTGTGACTCGGAGAGCACCCCACCGGAGACGAGGCTGGCCGGCCGTGAGATCTGGCCGAAGACGTGCCTCAGGCCCTCCTGTATTGACCCTCCATATCCCAGAAGCCTCTGAGCATCCCTGTTTGCCCCAAAAACCAAACCCCATCCCTCTTGCCAGGCTAATTTCTAAATCTAATTAAAAATAACAATAAATAAATAAACTCTTCCTCCTGTGCAGGGGGACGTGGGCGGCGCCCGGACGTTGCAGAAGAGGTGGACGACAATCTAATAAAAATAAAAATAAATAAATAAACTCTCCCTCCCGTGCAGGGTGACGTGGGCGGCGCCCGCACGTTGCAGAAGAGGTGGACGACGTTTCTGAAGGCGAGGCTGCTGTGCTCCGTTCCAGAGCAGCAGCTCCACTTTAACCGGATCCAAGGCACCTACACGCTGAACGGAGACCACTGGCGGGAGACCAGCTTCTTCGGGGTCTTTCAGGCACGCTGGTAAGCGAGGAGAGAATGGTCCTCCTGCTCTTGACAGCCTTGCAGTGCAGGGTGGGAAGGCCGTCGGGAGGCGTAACTCAGCTGGTCAGGGAAAGAGCACAGGATTCGGGTGCTTAGAAAGAGTCTTGCCTTTCTGTTTTTTTTTTTTTAAAAAGCAAGCCTCTAGTCCTTAAGGTACATTTGCAAGCAAATGGGCAGCCCTTGCTTAAATTAGGCACCAGGAGAGGGGGTTGGACAACATTTCTAGGGGCGGCTAAGCAGGCTCCGTATGCCAGATATCTCTTTTCCTCTTACATTTGTCTACGGGGTGATGAACGTCACCAGTGCCAAAATCTGAAAAGCAAGAACAGAAAGTGCAGAGAGAATTGATCTAATGTTAGAAGAAGGTGTGCATAAATTTCTCAGGTGAAGGATCATCCTTTCTAGACTTAGAAGTTCTCTCCTGATGGTCCTCCCCTTTCTTTCTGTGCCAAGAAAGGAAGCGGGAAAACATTTCCTTCCTCCCAGCAGTTCTTTGGGGATATATATTTAAAGGGCTGCAAAATCCCACTTCTTCCGGGCGTGGTTTAAAGCTGGTGGAGGGCTGGAGAAGGAGGGCCGGTAGGTTCTGGGCGAGAAGGGCGGCCGCTGTGTGAACCGAAATCCTCTCTGAAGATGGCTTAACCGGCTCTGGTGAATAAACTTCCCCTGGTTTTCATTTATCTTAACCCTGTTTTTCTTGCTTCCTCCCTTTCTTTTCTTCCCCTGCAGGGGAGACGTCGATGTATCTGCCGTTTGCCAGTACCAGATTCTGGATGTGCAGAAAGTCTTTGACGGCCCGTACAAGGAATACAGTGAAATCGCCCAGAAGTGGGTGCGGTACTCGGATAAGGAGCCCGTCCCCCGTCCTGGAGCTGTAAGTCCCTTCCCCCCCCCTTGAGAGGCAGGGTGAGACCCCTTCTGGCCTATGAAGGATTCGTTAGTCCCTCCTGGGCCCCCGTTGCTTATGAGTGCAGACTCAGTTGATTCCAAGATCTGTGATGTGATCAGGAGATGGCTTTCTCCAGCCCCTGATTTCCTTCTCTACACTTCTGGTGTGGGCAGCATGCAGGAGAAACCGTGGGTGCTCGCTGGAAGAGTTACACAGTGTGGAAGGGAAAAGGGGGAGATTTGTCTCCCCTGTGGGATTGATCGGCTTGGAGACCTGCGACTTCCATGGAGCCACAAGCCCAGGCTTCCAGACATCTCCTGCTGCTGTCCAGCAGGATTGCACCCCTTCCTCGGCTCAGTGCTTGGGCCTCTGGCAGAGAGGGGGGGCCCTTTCGGCTTGTATCACCCCTCCTTGCCTCTGACCCAAAGATGCAGAGCGAACCCCACGAGGGGGGAGGTGCTCAGTCTTTGTTTGGGGGGGGTGCTCTGTGGGCCTAAGCCTTGCCAAGGTGAAAGCAAGAGCTGAGCATTCATGAACACTCGTCGGCTTCATGCCAGGGGTGGGAAGGATGGGGCTCGCGGACTGCACGTCACCTACAAGGGTGCTTCTGGGGCAGCTTTTGGAGCCTTTCCCACTACTGGGGGAGAAAAATTCTGCCAAGAATGGGGAGCGGCATCTCCAGGGACAGACATGGCTTTTTTAAATGGGTGTTAAGTTCCTCAGCACCTCAAAAAGGCGCTGTTCCGTTTCCCGGACCTGGAAAGAACTTTTTGAGTTCCAGAAATGAAAATGGGTTGATGCAGGGGGGTCCAGGCGGTGGTGGGAGAGGGCGCAGGTGCCCTTTCCGAGTCCTCTGTCAGCCGCCCAAGCTCCGATTTGATTCCTGCGCCCTCCCTTCCAGTGTATCACCAACTGGCACCGCCACAACAGCTTTACCAGCTCTCTGGAGCTGCCGGACAACACCCTCAACTTCGCCAAGAAGCACCCGCTGATGGACAAGGTGGTGTCGCCCCAAGGGAATCGGCCCCTCTTGGTCAAGAAGGACGCCAACTTCACCCAGCTCGTGGTGGAGCGGGTTCATGGCCTGGACGGCAAGCCCTACCAAGTGCTGTACATCGGGACAGGTAAGGGGTACACCTGTTGGGTCATCAGCAGATTCAGCTTCCAGGTGAATCCCTGGCATCTTCGATCAAAGATTCTCAAGTGGCCAAGACAGGCCGTGCAACTTTACCGGAGACCCGGAATTTATTTATTTATTTATGGAAGAGTTTTGTTTGTTTGTTTTCTCTGTGACAATACATCTGTGTTATCCTGTCTTGGCAAACCGCCCCCCCCCAATGGTGGTTAGCTTGTGGCTCCCATAATTCACAGTCATAGCCTTGCTTGCAAAGGGTGATGGGGTCCATGCTTCAGTGCATTGGAAAGGGTCCCCATCTAGAAGAGGCTGGGAGAACCAAAGGTGGAAACTGAGAAATTCGTCCAGCGACGGGTGCTTAGTCTGTGCGAAAGCTCACATTTCTCTGCTGGACGAAGGCTGATTCTGCAGCTTCTTTAAATTTATGACACTTTTACGCCACCTTTCCGTAAATCTCAGAGCGGTTTGCGCAAGCCAGAATTAAATGAGTGGTAAATCGCACGACAACCCAGCCAAGCGTCTGAACTTGCGCAGAACTCTGCCCTTTCTGTGTTAAAAGCTTGCCTTGACTCCTTCGGGCTTGGCTGGTTAAAACAATTATGTCATGGTCTTGCCCAGAATCACCCCTTCCTGCTTACGAGATGGCAGCAGGTTTTATCCACACACCCTGAAGCGATCGCCGTGGCCGAGGAGGGCGGGCTCAGTGTACGGCCCCCTCACATGTTCAAGTCTTGGGGTTCTTGGAGGGTGCAGCATCAGCGCCTCAAATGGCACATATACACCATTCCCTTGGTAGTGTAGGTGCCGCTCTGAGGCTGGGACGGTTTGCTAAAGCAGCAGCCGGGAGATACGGAAGGTTTGACAAGACACGGGGATAACTAGAGAGCCCCTTCTGGCTTCTGGAGAATCCATGCGCCCCTTCCTGTGATGTTTCCTTGTCATGACCACCGCCTGCCTTGTTTGGCATCTTCTGTAGAGAACGGCTGGCTGTACAAAGCGGTGGTCCTGCCCTCCGGCGTCCATCTCATCGAGGAGCTGCAGGTCTTTCAGGAAGCCGAGCCCATCAAGAGCCTTGTCTTATCCCTGCAGAAGGTAAGGAAGGGCCCCTGTCTGGGGACGGGGTTGACATTTCAGAAGGTGGCCCAGAAGCTGCCACAAAGCCTTCCTTCCATAGATCCCTGCTCGAGGCCGAAATGTCACACACACCCCTTTTGTAATACCCAGGCTGGGGAAAATTCCATTTTCAAACTAGAACTGCCAGCGTAATGTGGACGGCAAGGTTAACCCTGAGAAGAAATGTCTTAAGCTCTGGATAGCATTGATGAAGGGCGGGACTGACATTTATATGTATGGGTTTGGGTATGTGTGTATGTGTGTTTTAAACTGTTGAGAATAAATAGTTAACATTGTGCCACGTGCTAGTGTTGGTTAGCTATACTTTCATGAGTCAGACAAAGAATTTGGGGAAGATTTTTTGGGGGGTTGTGGGTTGAATGGATGAAGTGGGAATGGTCTGGAGACACGAGAAGTGCGCTGATCGGAAGATGGGTTTGTGCCACACTGCAGAGTGAGACTGGAGTCTGGAGGCCACTGAGCTGTTTTCATTCCTACACTTTTCATGAGAATCGGCTTGTAAAAAAATCCTTAGTTCCTCCCCCCCCCATAACAATGAGGGCTAGAAGCTTGGCTGGTTTAACAGATAAATGGGAATCTGGGCCCACGGAGTCCAGGTTTTTTCACCTGAAGGGGTAACTTAAGACGGGTTTCCCCCCCCCCCATAACAATGAGGGCTAGAAACTTGGCTGGCTTAACAGATAAATGGGAATCTGGCCCACAGAGTCCAGTTTTTTTCACCTGAAGGGGTAACCTAAGACAGGAGCAAAGTTGTGTGGTTCAGTGGAGTGAGAGCCAGTATGTGGCATAATGGATAGTATGTTGGATCAGGGTCTGGGTTCGAGTCCTTGCTTGGCCACGGAAACCCACAGGAGAGGAGAAGTCATGCTTGGAGCATCTCACATTCCCTGAAAATCCTATTAGGGACGCTGTAGGTTCAGTGTACTTTGATGGCTCGTCACTACGGCCAAGCTGTGCGGTGCCCGATGCCACTCTGCTATGGCTCTTCTTTCTCGCTTTCTCTAGAGGGTCATCTTTGTGGGCTCCAACTCCCACGTGGTCAGGCTCCCCGTCGCCGACTGTGGCAAGTACCACACCTGCTCGGACTGCGTTCTCGCCAAGGACCCTTACTGCGCTTGGACGTGGAACGGAAGCCGATGCGTCCGCATTGACACCTACGACGGGTAAGCAAGGCGTTGGCCCAGAACCTGGGAAGGGCTGAGAGGGTGAAGAAGTCTCAAGGAAAGTGAAGGATGGGCACGAGGGCATCCGCTCACCCAAAACCTGTTCGACTGCTCTGCCTTTTCTGTCTCCTCGCAAGCTTTGCTTTCCTGTAAACCAGGGGTGGGCCGCCGTGGCCCTCCCGACATTTCTGGCCTGGAACTTTCATATGAAATACTGGATAGCCCAGGGGTTGAGGTCTCTGTCTGCAAAGGTTGGGAGTTCGATTCCCCCTCTGTGGCCTCCTTGACTGGACTGGATGATCTCATAGGGTCCCTTCCAGCCCGGCCGTTCTAAGACTATTTATCTGATGGACCGACCTTGGCCCTGCCCTCTATTGGGGCTGCAGCCAAACATCACCTGGAGGGTCACGGTAATCCGCCTCATGGACGGTTTTTTTGGGGGGGAGAAACTTTGGCACTGTTGGACACTGATGGACAAGCCGTTAGAGAAACAGATTAAAAGTTGCGTTTTGCCTCTCGTCTCAGGGAAGGCTAATCACAAGAGGCGGTGCCCTGGGCCGCCGTCTCTATAAGGGTTAGGACTTGCTTCGCTTCCATCCTTAAACCCAACTGCCCAAAGCATATTAAAACAACCTCTTTCTCGCCAGAGCCTTGTCTCCTTCACCTTCCTCAGTCAAGGAAGCCAACGGGCCCTCCTGCCTGGAGGGGAGCAGCCGCGTAGCCTGACGCTCTCTGTGTGCGATCTAACATCTTTCTCGCCGGAGCCTTGTCTCCTTCACCTTCCTCGGTCAAGGAAGCCAACGGGCCCTCCTGCCTGGAGGGGAGCAGCCGCGTAGCCTGGAGCTCTCTGTGTGCGATCTAACAGGGGTTTGCAGTTAGGGAAAAAAACTGCTTTTAAGAAGCTGTGCTCTGCAATAAACCATGAGGGCTGGAAACATGATTTTGCTTTTAAAGTTGCCGTTGCCAGGTACTTATGCAGGGAACCTAGGAGTGTGTAGAAGGCATGTACCATGCCTCTTTTGATGTTGTGGCCTTCCTCGGCCACAACGCGCTCTTCCCTAGCCATCTTCGCATGTACCATGCCTCTTTTGATGTTGTGGACTTCCTCGGCCTTCCCTAGCCATCTTTCCTCCTTACGGCGAACGTCTTGTGACAAACCCCTCTTGACTCTTTTAGAATCTCGATGCTGTTCCAGGAGCTTCACGTCGAACCGACCATGTGCAACCCCTTGCGTGCTACTAAGCCAGGTGAGTCCTCCTCTTGTGTTTTCCCAGTCTCTCTCACTTCTGAACTGAACTCTCCCTGTGGTTTGTGATTTTTTTTGCTTTTCTGGGAAGACCACCCCCAGTTTGAGATGCTGAATCGGCAAGTTCATAAAACTCGCGCGTGAAGTGGGTCCCAAAAGGTCATTTTGCCCATCCTCTGTCAGTCCAGGAAACCCGTAACCAACTTTTAGGAAATGCCCCCCCAAAAAAACTCATTTGATCTTGCTCAGCCCCCAGAGGGCTGAAAGGAGGAGAGCCTTCTCTGACTTCCATTCTTCCTCCACAATGTAAGAGCCAGAGCAATTAGGCAGCCAGATCTGGGGTCCTGTGAGAAGACAATACATCATTCTTCTTTCAGTCAACCTGTGGCTGGAGGGGGTGGAGAAAAAGCCCTCTTGCATCTTCTCACTTTGACACCCTCAGTGGGCAAGATCATTGTGCAGTACTAAGTAAGGATGGCAACATTGATACCCCCCCCGCCACAATATGGGAGTCTGGGCTACCTTTGGTTTGGATTTCTGTCATTCTTTGATCAAGGGAAATCCATCTGTTTGAAATCCTGGAAAGCTGTTGCCATGGTTACTCCATGCGGACAACACACAAGAGCCGAATCAGTGTACGGCAGCTTCCTTACATCCCTGTGATTTCAAAGCTCGCTTGTGTTTTCGTTCATTTTTGAAATCAAGACAATTTGGGGCTGACCAAAGAGCTTTGATTACTGACAGATCTAGGGCTCTATCGTGAATTTGCTATTCTCTTCTCTCCTCCTCCTTTGTAGGAAATAAGGTGACAGCCAAGAACATCACGGCCATGGCGGGCACCAACCTGGTGCTGGTTTGCCGCCTCACCTCCAACCTTGCCCAAACCCTCTGGACCTTCAACGGGCAGGACTTGCCCGAAGGAGAGCCTTCGGTCCACTACGACGGCCGCCTGCAGGCCCTGGTCCTCCTGGACATCGCCCCGAGGCACAGCGGGAAGTACCGGTGCGTCCAGCTGGAGGAGCGGAACGAACTCGGGTCCGAGAACTACGTGGTTGCGGTGGTCGCCAGCCCGCCCACGAGGCCGGAAGCGCGGGCCCCGCTGGAGAACTGGGGCCTGCTGTGGATGGTGGTGATCGTGCTGGTGGCCGTGTGCTTGGTGCTGCTGCTGGTGGTCTTCTCCTTGAGGCGCCGGCTGAAGGAGGAGCTCGAGAAGGGCTCGAAGGCCATCGAGAGCACCCTGGTCTACCCCATCGAGCTGCCCAAGGCGGCCAAGAGCCCCACCTTCATCCCCAGCACCACCTCGGACTCGGACGAGAAACTCTGGGACCCGGCCAGCTATTACTACTCCGACGGCTCCCTGAAGATCGTCCCGGGCCACGCGGTGTGCCAGAACGGGGGCACCGCGCCCTCCCCCACCGCCAACGGCATCCCGGGCCAGCCCCTCCAGTCCCCGCCGCTCCCCTCGCCCAACCGCATCAACCTGGGCAACCTCCGCGGATCTTCCTCCAACGGCTACATCCGCCTCAACCTGGGCGCCGAGGAGCGGCCCGACTACGGCGACCTGGCCGAGGAGCTGCGCCGGAAGCTGAAGCAGAGGCAGGCGTTGCCCGACTCGAACCCGGAGGAGTCGTCCGTATGAGCCCACACCCCAGACTCGCCCCCGTTTATCACTCAACTACCTCATCCGTGCAGCCAGGGTCGCTCTCCTTGGCTGGGACTCGGTCTTTTTAAAACAAAAAACAAAAAACAGACACACACATTTAAGGACGTTCTTTGGGCGCCTCGTTTTTGCTAACAAATACCCCACATTCCCCGTTTTTATACACTGCCAAGGCGCCCCGTCCTCATGACGCCGACGCTGCTTGATGTTTTCAGCTGTGCTTCCTTGTGAGATGCGCCCAGGACTTTGGGAGAGACGCCTTCGCTGGTCCTCCTGCCTTGAAGGGTGGCGAGTCTGAACTCCCCGGAGACTCGGCCCTGGAGGGACGGGCCATTTCTTTCTCCAAACAGCCCGACGGTCTGCAGTGGGGCCAAAAAGGCAAGGCGGGGGTGGGGGGCTGCTTTGGGCTCCCCTCGTCTTCTCTTCCCTCCTGTCCTGCTCCCAGACAAGATGATTCTCTGCCAGCGGGTCAGGTGGGTCGCCAGCCTGCTTTTCTCCCCCCCCCCAAAAAAAAAGATGCTGGAGGTGACAGTGATGATGGCTTGGTTCCTCCCTCCAAAGGGGGGGCCTGCATGGATCCCCGTGGGGCCATTTAAGGGCATGCCTCTCCCATAGAGAGCGGAGCGGATGGTGGGTTGGGTGGGAAAGGCAGGCAGAGGGGGACCGTCAGGAGCGGGGAGGGAAGGAAACGTCCCAAACGCTTTGTGGGAGTCAAGGAGCCGACATGGGCGCTGAAGAGAGCCTCGGGCTGGAAAGGGACCAGGGCCATCCATCGTTGTAAAGGGCTGGCCGGAAAGGAGATGCTTCCAGGGGAAAGAGGCTGAAATGGCCCTCTCCCGTCCTTTCGGCTCCTGTGCATTTCAGCAGAGTTTGTGCAGGACGGTTTTCCAGTCCGTTGGTCAGTTGGGGTCTGTGTGTCCTCTTGGGGCCACCTCAGACCCACAGAGGTCGTCTCTTCCTGGGGGGGGCTGCTTCCAAAGAATGTGTGTGCGTTAGAGAGAGAGAGAGAGATGCTTCCCCATGATGAAATAAATCATTGACTGCTGTGACTAAGCTTCCCCTTTTTTGGTGGGGGAGCCTGTGCTGTAGATAATCCCCATTGTTTCTGGCTGTTGCCCCCCGCCTGGTAGCCCTGCATGCCTCACATCACTGCCCTCAGGACCAACGCCGCTCGGCTTCCCCCCCCCTTTTTTTTTAAACCTTTAAAAAACAGAACAGAACAAAACTCTTGTGTAAATAATAATCCAACGGGCTAGGACCAACGCCGCTCGGCTTCCCCCCCCCCTTTTTTTAAACCTTTAAAAACCAGAACAGAACTCTTGTGTACATAATAATCCAACGGGCATCTCACCCAAGGGCCTTTCAGCCGCTCTTGCTCCAATCACGTGTAATTTATTTGTTACTGAAATATATTTATTTGATGTAAATGCCTGAATATTTTTATATTAATAATAAAAGGAAGAGAAAATGTTAACAGAAGCGCTTGTCTTTGTTCGTGATTCTTGGGTCTTGTTCAGTGGGTAATTAATTGGGTGACAGATTTTGTTTTCCTCGCGTGGAGATGAGGAGGAACGTTCATTGTTTTAATTTATTTGTTACTGAAATATATTTATTTGATGTAAATGCCTGAATATTTTTATATTAATAATAAAAGGAAGAGAAAATGTTAACAGAAGCGCTTGTCTTTGTTCGTGATTCTTGGGTCTTGTTCAGTGGGTAATTGGGTGACAGATTTCGTTTTCCTCGCGTGGAGATGAGGAGGAATGTTCATTGTTTCAAGTGGAAACTTCCAGAATCCCGGAGCTGTCATGAGTATGGACTGTATCCTGTGGCATCCTGGGGGTTTATAGGCGAACCCGTTGGTTCCCAACCTTAGCTAATCCAGGTGTTCTTGGGCTGCGATTCCCAGAAGGCTTTGCCACCAGGTGTGTCTGTCCAGGGTGTTTCTGGGAGTTGCAGTCCAAGAAACATCTGGGGACCCAAGGCTGGGAACCATTGACCTAAAATGCTGGGGTTCTTTTGCCAGGTCTGAGGCAGGGAGCGTCCTTCTTGCACTTCTACCCCAGCCTCTTTGCTAGTGAAGTTCTGTCCTATTGCTAATCTTGCGATTCATGACGTTTATTTACATGCTTTCGCCATTTGGAGAACATCCACTGGCAGCTAGGGGGGTGGAAAGTCTCTGTGTCTTATGGAGCGAAGAAAACAGATTATATTTTCCTGTTTTCTTCTCCTAAAAAATTGGTGCGTCTTATGGAGCGAAAAATACGGTACATGCTTTTGCCCTTTGGAGAACATCCACTGGCAGCCCTTTTGGGTTTTCATCTTGGCTGGAGCAGAAATGGAAATGTTGTTTGGGGACTGCGGCCTCTGTACTAGTGTGGGGCATTGGGAACTCTCGTGTAAAGCCCCTCCCCGATGTTTCCCATCTCTGGGGGGGGGGCGTGAACACAGGATTTGCTGTACTTCCTACCATATGAAGGTGGTTCCTGCATCTTTTTTTACGACGGAGCTACCTTGAGCTCGACAGGAGAAAGGCAGAGCATAAAAGTACGTTGAGGGGGGATGAGTAACAAAGAGGGTCACTCCGGAAGTTTGCAATCGTACTATCGGTTGGTCGGAAGTGTGGGGGAGAGAAAACACAAGCAGTGGGGGGGGGGAAGGAAATAAATAAGGATGAGCTAAATTGGAGAGTTGGTAAGGATACGTTTTTCAGGAAAAGAGGAAAGTAGAGTTGGTGTCATGCCTGTGGTTGGTTTTCTGCTTCTTCAGGGGTGGCTGGGGTTGGATTGGATGCTCTTTGGGAACCCTTTAAGTTTTACAGCTGTGGTTCTGGGATTTTAGAGGCAAGGGGAGGGCCATCCATCCTGGAAGCTGGCTTGCAGGGATAAACCCCGGCTCTCAAGAGTCAAGATGGGAATGTTTTTTCATAACAGCCTTTCCTAGAAAACAAATACATGGACAAATTGCGTTGAAATTCAGGCACTGTTTGTACAAAGTTTTGTTCCTGGCCCATCTCAGATTAATGTCATCCGAACAGAGTCTTCTTTTCCTTCCTTCCTTCCTTCCTTCCTTCCTTCCTTCCTTCCTTCCTTCCTTCCTTTCTGCTGCCGGCTAATCTTGGATATCTCAACGCCCTGTCGTTTAGCATTCTTGTTGACTGGGCCTCTTTCCACTGACCAGTCTCTGGGGAAGGGTTTGGAGGGGGGGGTGTCCCTTGCCCGTGAGCTCATGGAAAACCAACAGCAAGCCTATAAAAGGGCATTTCTGCGTTTCCAGCACGGTGGAGGGCGAAGCAGAGAGGGCGAAGCAGAGAGCAAAAAATACACCCCACCACCACCTTCTCCTAGAAGGCTGGTTCTCCCTGCTTTGGCGATGGGAGGAGGGCCAGATCTTAGGAGGAGGAGCCGGCTGGCTGTTCTCTCTGTTGCTCTTACTGCCTGGTTTAACGTATTCTTGCTTCTGTTGACTTAAACACACACATATAAATATATTAAATGTGGGAGTTATGATGTCTTGGGCAATTGATCATTTCTCTTCCTTGACAGATTCCCATGAAGCTTCCTGTCTTTCTGAAAAGCGGGAGGCATTGTTTACCTCTGTAACACACAAGATGCACTCAGCTAACGGTAATGTTGCAATGAAAAGGCTTCTTTGATATTTGGAGGGTTTATGGCCAATCTCTTGAGTGGAATCTGGGATTGCAAAATACCTGCGGTTTCCCATTCCTTCCCTTGAGCCAGCAGAACATCAACACTTTTTATGTATTTCTTGAATGCCATGGCACCACCAAGATGATGATGTTACAAAGGATGAAAAGGAGGGCAGGACAAATCCTATAAAATGCACACACGCGCGCACACAAATGCGCAATTGTCAAGGAAGTAAAACCAAGCAGGTACCTTTCTTTAAGGAGTTTATTACAATCTTAACGTCTGAGTGAAGGGCTGGCATGCTCAGAAAAAGAGGGAGAAGTGGCCTGCAGGGCCCCTTTTATTTATTTGTTTATTTAAAAATGTTTTTAACCTGCTTTTCTCCTTTAAAAGGACCCAGGGTGGCTGACAACAAGTTAAATATAAGTGTTAGTAACAAGGAGTACACCATGCTAAAAGGATCAATGAATACAGTATCCAAAAACATAAGCAACACCAAAAGACATTCAAAAGCAGCAAGGTATAACAATCTGTTTAAAAACTGCACGCAGGCAGCCAATCACTCAGGGAAAGCCGCTTTGATGAGAAAGGTCTTTGCCGGCTTGCTGAAAGACAACAAAGATGGGACCAGTCTGGCCTCCAGTGGGAGGGAGTTCCAGAGTCTGGGAGCAGTGGCAGAGAAGGCCCTTCTCCTGTGTCCCTACCAAACACACCTGTGAAGGTGATGCAACCAGGAGAGGATCTTAACACCCTAGTTGGCTCATAAAGGGAGATGTGGGCCTTGAGATCGCTTGGACCCAGGCCATTTAGATGAGAACCAATACCTTGAATTGTGCCCAAAATTAGCCTGTGGAGCTGCTGTAACAGGAGGGGTTGGTGTGATTCCTGTCTCCGTCCCCAGTTAGCCATTTGGCTGCTGGGTTTCGGACCTGCTGGAAGTCTTCTGACACTTTCCGTAGGCCTAAAGACAGAACGGCACGCACAGCGACACGGTGACACTTTAAAATGGCAAAGGCCTGGCAGCCCCATAAGGGAGGCGACTATAATCCACATAGTATTACGAACCTGGGGCTCAGATGGAGACCAAAGCCGCTTGGTGGTGACGGTCCCCCTGGGGGGGGGGCTTTGGTGCCTTTGTCAGCCCCTTCGGCCACTTCTGCTTTTAATTGTCAAGAGCAGTCGCGTGTGACTTCTCTGAGCAGAGGCTGGTCATCGTGCGGGGACTCGGAGTCCCACTCCACATCCTGACTCCAGCTCATCCTCAAAGCCTGGGTAGGTGACATGTTGGTCTTCATCTGTTCCCCTTCGATTGAAGGCCTCTGGGCGTAGCCAAGATTTTCATCTATTGATTTTTAACAGCTGTTTGTGAACGGAGAGTGTCATTGTTATTTAAGGCCAGGTTTATGTCAGACTGGACTACTGTATAATTTATAAGCTCCTTGGGGATTACACCTTCCTCGTTCTTTAAAGCAAAAATGCAAGGCTGGGCTTCCTTTATTGCTTTTCCAGGGAATACTTCCTTCCTTCCTTCCCCAGGAGAAACAGCTGGTCTCTGTGGCTCCACACAGTGATTCTCCCCCACCCCATCCAACAGCCGCCATCTCTTGTTATAAGCGGACCACTCCATCAGACCCTTGAACACACGATTTGAGTGGCCCAGTGCCCAGGGTTTTTGTGTTGGTCAGGGGAAAAAAATGTGGGGAAATCAATGGAATGGTTTTCAGTCTCTGCTATCTTACTTAGATCGCTGCATCGGAGAATCTGTGTCCCATCTTGATGGAATCAAGAGGCAAAAAAAATAGCCTCTTCTTCTCTCCATGTGTCCACGCCGGCTGCCTGGAAAACTGCACGGGACCTTCCTTTTAGGGAAAGAGCAGGCAAAGGATCCCTCTGGATGTTGGATTCCAGCTCCCATCCCAACCCTCGCGATCGAGAGCACTTCCTCAGATTTCTGGCTCTTGTTAACTCAGAGCCAGACAGTGTGGTGTAGTGGAGAGAGTGATGGACGGGGACTCAGGACAGACTTGGGTTCCCCTCCTGTCACGGCCATGAAATTTCCCTAGAAAGTGGCAACGGTAAAGCCACCCTTAACTATCACCAATCCTTTGAAAATCCTGTTAGGGTCGCTTTGTGTCCGGGAGGTGGGAGGTGGGGGGGACGTGAAGGCACAGGAAAAGCCAGACTTGGAAGAGGTGGTCGTGTTGGTCCTTGTGCAAGGCAATCCAGCCCAATCCCAAGACGTGTTTCCCCGCTTCTGGGGGAGGAGAGGAGGAGACCCTGCATCCCTTTTGAGCCCAATCCACCGGCGCGTGCCATGCCCTGAAGACGGGTCCCAGTGAGAGGTAACCAGGGAGGAAGGGCCAACAGAAGAGAGTTCGGTGTGACGTTTGGTGTCGGCTTCTTTCCATTGCCTTCCCTCTTGCTTTCGCAAACCACGGACCACAAACTGAGGCAGAGTCCGGGAAGTGTGAGCCCTGTGTCACAGAAGGCACAGGGGACGCCCCGACCCTCCTGCAGGCATAGAGGAGTAAAGCGTGTGTGTGTGTGTGTGTAGAGGGCTGTGTGCGCGCTTGCATGCATGCAGCGGACTCCATTCCC